AATTTTGTATTAATCAAAATCCCCATCTTCGTGCTCATACTCTCACCTTTTGTCCCTGATAACATATGTTTTACTTGGTGGAATGGCGCAGTTGTGCCGATGGTTGAAGCTGCAATAGCCCTTGTGCTCGTGGACCAATTAATGGAATATTATACAATGTCATACGTTTCCTGTCAATCCTGACCAACGAGTGAAAAATTTTAAATTGTGCAAGGAAAATTCATTGTCATGAAATGTATATGTCGAAGTAATTTTGAGCCAATAAAATTCTTCTCTATTATCATTTTCTCCAATATTTTCATCAGCCATGTTTTTCTCTAACGTATCCTTATGGTCTGTTTAGCTGATCCCACTTAGTAGGAAAAGGCTTTGTTGTTGTTGTTATCCTTATGGTCTGTTCTTTTTCTGGTCCTAATTGTCCTAACTGCACCCAAATCAAAATGCTTCACATGGGTATGGTTAATCTCACAAAACAAGCTCCTCTCCTCACTACAACAACAACAACAACAAAGCCTTTTCCCACTACCTCTCCTCACTGATGAAGTAAATATTAATGGACCAAGGCTGTATCATTCAAGTTAAGCCCTAATTCGGTTGAAATGAACCCACATGAACACAAAACTATACCTCAATTCAAATGAGAAATATATGAAAGAAGTCCATAGAAATCCATGAAAGCAATCCATATAATACATAGAAATCTATGATAGAAATCCATATAAATCCGCCAAAAGGATTATAGAGTCTATTAAAATAGATTTACTTAAATCTAAATCCGGCTAGTCTGCCTAGGGCCTAGGCGTTGGGCCCAAGCCCGCCACCCGACCAGGGCCTAGCGTCTTTTAGAACCTTGAATAAAGGTGAAGGAGGAATAGGAAATAACTAGGACATTGTAATATGACATTCTCTAATCGTGCAGACAAATGAGACCCTATTGTTTTTTTTTTTTTTGCAACTCCATGGAAGTAACAGCATAAAGCTTGAGGCAGCTCATTTCATATGGTACCAGAATCGAGCCAGGATCCGACGACTCGACCCGAAAATGTAGTATTCAGAGCTTGCTTGCCGAAAAAGCTAAGCATGAACAAGGGCCAGCCATCTAAAAGAAAGTAATAGAAAGTGTGCATTGCAACATTAAATTGTCAAAGACCCAATTTTGTAATTATAATTATTATCCTTTTGGTACAAGACTCAATTCCAGCAGCTTACAATCTCTTTCCCAAAAAATAAAAACATAATTCAGTGCAAAAACTTGGCCCTGTCAAACAATCAGCAAAAGAAACTCAAACTTCAAAAACAAGTAAGTGGTTAAGAACCCATTGGGGCATTACATCGAACACCTGGCGGGCACCCTAATCGGAGCAGATTTTCTTCAACTTATCAGCCGCAGATTCGTCCACAGAGTACTGCAATCGCAGGAAATCCCAATTGGGTTCACAGAAACACACACAAAAATGTCCAAAACCAATCAATATTCCAAATTTGTTTTTAGCGAAAGAAATTACGACGTTGTACCTTATTGAGGACCCAGAGGGAATGATTGTAGGCCCTGAGGAAGAGATCGTGGAGGGCTTGGTCGTCGTTGGCCTCGACCTCTCTGTAATTGACGAAGTTCTCGCGGGCGTACTTGGCGTAGTAAGGTTGAGAGTCCTTTGGCAACCTCCTCACCAATCTCAGAACCTCCCCGTAGATTTTCAATGCTTTCTCCATATCTTGACTCGCACCACCGTCGATCAGCGATCACAGCATCAGAATCTCCACGAACAGAAAGGGCTTTTACTTGTCTTGACAAACGGGCCTCTGTTTATTGCGCAACAGATATATTGGAGTTGGTATGGGCCGTACCATGCAGTTATTTCCAATGGGGCACTATATGCACCCAACCCAATGACCACGCACCAGAGACGGAGGAAGTACAACTTACATGACCACGCACCATGCGGTTATTTCTAGAGACAATTTTGTCTATTTCTTCTATTCTTCTCAGTCCAGGTCAATTATAGGTGGGCACTTGGAACCAAAAATCGAAATCAAAACACGAACCAAATCGAACCGCATCGAACGGTTTCGATTTGAAAAGATGTCAATTTAGTATGTGACACTTTCTTCAGTTTAACCAGGTCCATAGCAAATCTGCAATCCAATGTTCATGAAGTTATTCTTTCATTTTGTTTGCAAATGGTTTGAAACTGAACAAAAACGGTTTGAAACCAAACCGAACCAAACCAAATGGTTTGATTTCATTTCGGTTTTAGCTTCAAAACCGCACCGAACCAAACCACAAAAACTTTCGGTTTCACTCAAAGTAGCACCGACTTAGACCACGCCCACCTCTAAGATCAATCACTAAAGGAATCCTTGTGCTGAGCTAGGGTCAAACAAAATAATCTCCTTTTTCTGTCCTGGAAGTTAATCTTCATCTGCCAAGGGAGCTTTAATGAAAAGGGTTTAGGCCAACAAATATTTAACCAAAAACCATCCCAAAATGTTATTTAACCAAAATGGCTCAAAATTTAATAAAAAACCATCCAAAACTATTGTCCGCGGGTCAAACTTACAAGACCAACCCGCTACAAATCTACACTTCCGTAAATACTCCTAAATGATTCGATATTGTCCGGACTCTTCACCAACCTCAACCCAACACGAAACCGCCATAATAACTCCCTGTCTTCGTATCAAATCGAATTCCCCCATTTCAAAAACAACCAATTCAAAGTTCAAATCAAAGTTGAAAAAGGAAGCATTCATAAGAACAAAGCAGCCGAAACAAGTTCAAAGAAGTTTAATGGCAGAAACCGGTGAAAAAGTATTTGGAAAAAAAAGAGAACCAAAACATAAAACTATTTCTGGATAACCCGAAACATAACACTATTTCTGGAAAAAAAAATCAGATACAATGCTTGTTTTGTCTGTGCACAAACAAACACTGTATCTAAAAAGAAAAGAATCAAAATCCAGAAATAGTGACTTAAATTTCAGAAATAGTGACTTAGATTCCAGAAATAGTCTATGTTTTAACCTTCGACTGTTTCTTTTCTTTCATGCATCAAAGATTATATTTAAGAAACAGGGTGTTTATTTTGCTTTGAATCCAAATACAGTGAATTTCACTATTTCTTTTCTAGCTTACATTTAAGAAACAGTATGTTTATTTCATTTGGATCCATAAACAGTGACTTAAATTCCAGAAACAGTAACTTAGATTTCAGAAACAGTGACTTAGATTCCAGAAACAGTGTTACTTTAAAATCTAGAAACATTTTATTTTTACAATCCAAAAACAGTGACCCTTCATTATTATTGAATAGCATGCAGATCTCAAATTTATTTTCTGGAGAAACAAACGATGAACTCCACTGACGAAGAAAAATTGAAAAACAGTACCTCGAATACACTATGAATAATAGCGACGATCACATTTCAACAAAATAATACAAAATATAAATTAAATAGCATGAGGATCTATATTTTTGTTTCAAATAAAGAAGAAGGTTTGCAAAACAACGATGAACTCCATTAACGACGAAAATCTGGAACTCAACCTAAAAAAATTAAGGGTAAAATCGACAAATCATAATTTATTATAATTGGGTCATTTTTAGTTGGACTACTTTAATATGGGTTTTGTACTAATCATTAAACAAAACTTATAACATGTTTTTTTTATTAAAACTAAAACTTTTCAATCCATTTTCATTTTTTTTTTCATACAAAGACTGGAAGAAGGATATTTGAACATAGAACATTGAATTCAGAAATGCAACGCTACTTGAACAATAAGTCCCTTCTTCTATATATGTTAGACTATAGATTGTTCTATAATCTCTCTTCATCTATGAGTTGGTATCATTCTAGTAAATACAATAGAAATACAATGCTTTGGTATATATTGTTAAAGGTCGCGTCTATGTGAAATTTTGGCTTCGCAACTGTCGAACACTGTGCTACCAAATATGTAGGAACCTTGCATGGGCTTATAAGAGATTGGGTTATTCCTCATATTGCCAATTGGTTTTATGGTGGAACCTTAACTCTCGTCACGGTATCGGAGCCAGTTTGTCTCACGTGTGAAGCCAAACGACTACAAGCGCTCCATATCACCCCGTTGTATTGTCCAAGTGTTAGGCTTGAAAATTAGCCAAATGTGAGGGGGCTTGTTGAGAATGACTCTCACATTGATGAGATGAGGGACCTTGCATGAGTTTATATGAAGGTTGAGCTACTTCCCATATTTTTATTTGGTTTTATAGTGGAACCTCTACTTTCTTTATGGTAGCAGGTTGTTCCACATGTGAAGCCAAACGCTCACATGTGCTCCATGTCACCCCATTGTATTCTGTACGTGTTAGGCTTGAAAATTCGTCACAAGCGAGGGGGGTTGTTGAGAATGAATCTCACACTAATAAGAGGAAAGACATTGTATGAACTTATAAGAAGTTGAACTTCATATGATGGAACCTCAACTTTTTTTGGGAAGAATCAATTTCGGTAAACCATCAACCACGACGATGAAAGTGATTGCAGCCGTGAAGCAAAAGAGGCCAAATGATTGTACACATCTTAATTTGAAGAGAGGAAACAAAACAGATTCCACAAGAAGGCCTCCATCCCACAACTCGTAAGGTACATAATTTTTTTCTAGAAATTTTTCGATAGATATATAATAACTGGTTCAGATGGACCCAAATAGACACCAATCTTTTTCACAATTTAACCTATGTTTTAGCTTGTCTTTAGTGATTCACAACGAGACATCAAATTTGTCCTTCCCACTGACCACGTGTAAGCCGCGACACCCCAAAAACTACACTAAGATTCCACGTCCCCACATCCTCAGTTGTTTGTGTAGCATCCAAACAATTCAAAACAAAGAACAATAGCAGCAAGGAAAACGAAGTTGATCCGAAACATTTAATGCATCCAATCCAAAAAACCCTTCAAACGCAAATAACCACTCGATCTAACGTGAAGTCCAGAGGCCTCCTCCTCACACTTGGTTCCTGTTTGCTTCCATGGTGGCAACTCCACCATCACTCGTTCCCTCTTTAAAACCAAACCCACCACCGCATCGACCTCTCCACACTCTCTCCTCCCCCCAAAACCCTAAAACCCTAACCATAAACAACAACAACATGCTTGACATATGGTCATGGATATGCGACCTTCCCAACTCATCCGAGTGGGCCGAGTCTGACTCGTCCCACATTCTCGAGCTCGCTAGCTCCGGACCCAGTCACGACAACAACCCAACTCGTGCGATTCAACTCCGGGCCGAGCGGACCGCCGGCTCCAACATCGACACTTTAGTGACCTTCTCCGTGTGCTTGCATGGCTTCAACCAATATCCCAAAAAGACTATCTGGGTTTCTGACATGTGTTCACTCTCCTCGGACAAACCCTACCTCGCTCTCTTACTCCAACTTCTCCAAGAAATTATAGCCCGTTCGCCCACCGCGCACGGTAGCGGCACCTGCCCGCGCTCCCAGCTTCAGGCCCTCAAACCCGACCCATTTTCTTGGATCATGGACTCCCACTCCCCCGAGTCCTTCTCCACGTTCTTCGACCTGGTTTTCATCACGCGCCTCTTCTGGCTCTGCGCGTGCGACTCTCCATCCGAAGTCGGCTCTCTGTACTTCAAGTCGCTGCTGGCTCCTAACCTCGAGGCGTTGTTGTGCAAGCACGCGCCGGCCCTGCGGACGTTTCTGATCACCGCGGGTGTGGATGCGGAGCTGTGCTTCATGCGCACCCTCGGGTACATGTTAGCCAAATGGTGCATTTTGAGAGATGTGGGCGTAGGTCTACAGACGCTGACGTCATCTCCCTCTCAGAACTTGGGTTTCTCTTACGCGACGGAGGCCTGCGGGCTTTGGGTGCTAAAGGGTTACGCGCCAGTAATGGGGATGAAAACCACGCGCTCAGCCGCCAGCACGAATCGGAAAAATCAGTTTCCGGCGTTGGTAACCAGAGACTCGGTGCTAAAGTACACCCTGGCGCACCAGCAGCTGGAGGCGGTCGTTCAGGTAGAATATTCTGTTGGATTTTACGATGGGTTTATTCAGGTGACGGCACGTGTCGACAATCTCCGCTTTCACGTGGTGAATCTCGGATTTAACAAAGACGACGACGTGGACTACGCGGAGGAGAAGTATTTCCCATCGAGGATTCGGGTCTGGGTCGGGCCGGAAGTCGGGGCGAACTACGTGAACGGGTTGAGCCTGGGCCGGTCCACGGACAACGTGGAGAAAGAAGTGAAAACGCAGAGAGTGATGAAGGGCGGTTTCGAAAAATCAAAGGTTCCAAATATGAAGGCCACGGCGAGGATGTCGACGAGGATGAGGAAGAGGAACTGGAGGTGGGACCAGGACGCGGAGGGAAACGCGGCGGTTTTCGACGCCGTGCTGTGTGACAACACGACGGGGCATGAAGTGGCCACGTGGAAGCCGGATACTGATGGCGGGAACGGCGAGGGTTTGAGAAGGCGATACGAGGGGGCGAACAGGCCATTTACCAAAACGGGGAGTTTGGTGCTGAGCGGGGACGAGTACGGCGACGGAGTTGGGTGGAGGTTGAACAGGGAGATGGAAGGGAGTGTGTTGAAGTGGAGAATTGGCGGGAAAGTGTGGTTGAGTTACTTGGCGAACGAGGTGAAGGGTTCGTATTTTGAGACGAGGTGTGTGGAGTGGTGTGATGAGGTTGATTTGCCTTTGATTCTTGGTAAATTAAGTGTGTAATTAATTATGATAGAGGATACAAAAATGTTATTCTTACTATCTAATTGTACCATCATTTGTATCACATCTCTAATAGTGATGGGATCCACATGCGTTGGCGGACCATATCTTTATTAAAGAGATAGTACAAATAATGATACAATTAGGTGTTAAGTGTAGCATTACTCTAAAGATTATAGTTTTTTATTTTTCGCAACATTTATAGTAGTTACACAAGTTAATGTGTTGTAAATACGAATAAATTAGTTCTATAAAGAAACTAAGGTAGTCCTTTTATTGCTCTGGATTAGTCCTTTTATTGCTTTGGAAATGGGATTGTTATGGACAAATTGCAGTAATAACAAGCACATATATACATAACCAGAATTGTTGGGATTCCTAAACACATGAGAAAAATGTTAACAAATTCCAATAAAAGTTGAAAATTTACACAATCAGCCTTTTATATCCCACCAACCACACTTTTACCTTTTCCTACACACATACTAAACGCGCAAAGAGTTGGGTCACAAACTTAACATTTTCTGTTGTACCAAAGTCATCACTGATTTTGTTCATCAACATTTGGCGTCGTCTGTGGGAATGACACTTATTCCCACTCTCTTCTGCTTTGTTAAGCTAGTTTCCACCATTCGTACACTATCTTTTGACCAAGTATCCCTTTCCAACATGGGGAGCGAAGGAAGCCACAGCACACAAAATGACACCCCTCTTGCACCTGGTGCGAAGCAACAAAAGAAAGAACAAAAGAAGTTTGCTCTTCAGGCTAAAGTCGATGAGCTGGAGGCACAGAACAACAAGATAATGACGAAGAATGAGATCCTCCAAGAGCAGTATGAGAAAGTCTTCCAGATGCGCCACGAGGCTAGATATACTAAAACACACGAGCTCATCACCCATGTGGAAGTCAACCATCAACTGGGTGCCCCCCAACAAGGATGGTCATTTGCCCTTGACATAGGTATTCCCGTTGAGGAGCGAGTTACTCATCGAAATGGCGACCAACATGAGACTTCTCTCAACCCAGCTGCTTCAACCAGAAGCAGGAGGAGTGGAGGAAGGCACCTCCTTACAGAAGGAGTGGAAAGATCGAAATCTGTCTTTCGCGACTGTCGAGTCTTCCTAAAGTAACATCGAGACAATCCCATCCATGTAAGCTCGAATATCAATGACCCAAGGATTTCTGAAAGACTCGGTCCCCTCCCATGTCTTAGGCCGGCTACCAATTTGGGGAAGGGGCAACAAGTCTTAGAGAAACACGAAGGTATAGGAGGACTCAGAGATGTTCCAACAGACATACCTTGGAAGTCAGTACGACGAGTCCATGGAAAAATCACATGCTCTTGATCCAACCTTTCTACTTCCAAGAGGAGATGGAGATTTATGAAAGAAAGCTCCAGTGGTACATGACTCCACTCAGGACCCTCTTGTCCTACAACTTCTTAAGGAAGTAAACAAGTTGAAGGCCGAACGACAAGCTGAGATACCTGATTGGAACCAACCTAGGCCTGGCCTTCTTACAAGGAGGATCCTCGACTCCCCCTCAAAGCAAAGATAAAGCAGAAGCTTGGCTTGCAACTCTATACTGGAAATGAGGACCTGATTGAACACTTTAACCTCTTTAAGTCCACCATGGCATACCGGATGCACACCGACGAAGAACGATGTCTTCTCTTCCCCTCCACCCTCTCTAGCAAGGCTCTACTCTAGTATTGTCGTCTTCCACCTGAGACAGTAGACTCATTTGAAGAATTGGGGAAACTGTTTATTTCTCAACATATTTTTCAGACCAATCGCTTGCACTCTGCGGATGACTTATACATTATTCGCCAGAAGCCAGATGAGTCATTCCGTATGTATGTTGGCCGTTTCAACCATGAGTATTCCCGTTGTGCCGAGGCAGACAACAAAACTGCCCTCAAAGCCTTCACGGCAGGTCTACGTGATTGTTTCTTCAAGTACATAATCAATGTCAACACTTGGAAGACTTACTCTGAGGTGATGGCACATGCTTACAACCATGCCTCCGCTGAGGCAATGACATATCAAGGGAAACCCCCTACCACCACCCCTTATCAGCAAATAGGGAGTGGAAGCCAGATCCAACCAAATGAGAAGACCTCGACCTTCCAAATGGCAGCGGTGCCTCCTCCTGCCTTACTTAATACTTCGCCAAGTCAACAGATATATCAATCTCAGGGTAAAAGGAAAGATTTCCATCCTCAACAGTCCCATTTTAGTAAAAGGAGTAAGGACACTATCGCGATAACCAAGGGTATCGCCACGATAATGCACGCCCCCAGGCAGTCAACACAGTAGGCCAAACACGTGTCAGGACAGGCCCTACCCCGAGGTATGAGACATACACGCCTTTGGACGCCACATGCGTGGCCATTTACCCCAGCATAGCACATCTGATACCGAAGCCAATGCCAAGGCAGTTGGGTTACAAGCCCACGAAGAACATGGACACGTTTTGCTGCTACCACGAATATAACGACCATGACGGTGAGAAGTGTATCACCCTTCGTGATCATATTGAAGCTTTGGCGCATAAAGGAAAAATTGATCGATTTCTCATTCACCCTTCAAGGGATAACCGTAACCAACGCCAAGTGAATGTGATATATTCCATAAGCGGCGGCACACCCATATCTAAATCTTTCCAATAAGGACATGAAAAATAGCGAACGAGTTTTAAGGCTTGGCCACCAAGTGTTTCACGTGGAAGACATCACGGGAGGCAAGTATTAAAAGCCTAACTGGGATCTAATATGTTTCTACCTTGAGGAAGAAAGAGGTATCATCTACCCTCACAACAACCCACTGATCGTGGAAGCTCACATAGCCAACTTTGAAGTAAGATGAATACTGGTAGACACGGGGGTTTCGGTCAATATCATGTTTGCTGAAGCTTTCAAGGCACTTAATGTAGCTGAACATTTGCTCGATCGCTCGATTTCTCCTCTGATAAGCTTCTCCGGTGATATCGTGCAACCTATAGGGAGCATACACTTACCTTTCACCATTGGTACAGGCCCTTACACAGCTACCATTACCACTAACTTCCTGGTAGTTGATTGCCCAATGGCATACAATGTCATCTTTGGACGCACATGCATCAATGATCTCAAGGCCATGGTATCTACACATATGTTGTTGATGAAATTTCCAACCCCCTATGGCAATGGTTACATTATAGGAGATCAACTTAGTGCACGGTCATGTTACAACACTTCGGTCAAGCAACAACACCTGCCTGTGCCCAAGGAAACCTTTTCTATACATGACCAAGTCATAAAGATCAGCCCGGACGAAGCCAACTTGGATCTTCACGGTGGCAATAGTCAACCCGACGATCCTCGAGCTAACTTTTTCACTCAACAAGGACAACCCGCTGAAGAGCTGGAGAAGGTTTCTATATCAAAAGATTATCCAGATCGCGTGGTGAAGATTGGCACCACCTTGTCACCACCCATTCGGTTAGCATTGATCTCTTTTTAGCAAGAGAACACTGAGGTCTTCACCTGGTCATACGAGGACAAGCCAGACATCTCTCCCGATATCATATGTCATCGCTTGAGTATTAACCCCAAGACCAAGCCGGTAAGACAGAAGCGAAGATCTTATGACGCTGAACGGTACGAAGCAATGAAGGCAGAAGTTGAAAAACTCAAAGGCATAGGCTTCGTCTGCGAAGTCAATTACCCAACATAGGTAGAAAATATGGTCCTTGTTAAGAAAAATTCGACCAAAGAAAGTCTCTTGCTTCAAAATGTCTTGTGGAGAATGTGTGTCGACTACACCGACCTAAACAAAGAATGCCCGAATGATAGCTTTCCTCTTCCTCTCATTGACAGACTTATAGACTCTACGGCAGGGTGTGAACTCCTGAGCTTCATGGATGCTTACTCAGGATACAAACAAATCCTCATGAACCCTCCGACCAAAAACACACATCATTTACTACTAACAGGGGACTATATTGCTATAAATTCATGCCTTTCGGCCCAAAGAATGCAAGAGCAACTTATCAAAGACTAGTCAATTTAATGTTCGCCAAACAGATTGGGAAAAGCATGGAAGTTTACGTTGATGATGTGCTAGTCAAGAGCAAACATGCTGACCAACACATTGTGAACCTATTTGAAACTTTCACCATTTTGAAGAAGTATCGATTAAGGTTGAACCCCAACAAATGTGCCTTCGGCGTAGGCTCTGGCAAATTCTTAGGCTTCATGATAAGCCAACGAGGCATTAAGGCTAATACCGAGAAGATCAAAGTAATCCTCGAAATGAATGAACCGGTAACTTCAAAATACATCCAAAGCCTTACTGGCAAGATGGCGGCCTTAACTAGGTTCATCTCTAAAGCCATAGAGAGATGTGCTCATTTCTTCAAAGCACTTAAGGGAAGTAAGAAGTACATTACTGGACTGATGAATGTGCCAAGGCATTGAAGAACCTCAAATACTACATGAGTAAAGCCCATCTGCTCTTCAAACCTGAGGTTGGTGACACTCTCATTATCTATCTGTCTGTATCGGCTTCATCAGTAAGTTCTGTTCTTATTCGAAATGATGGTAATGTTTAACAACCTGTCTACTATGCTAGCAATGCCTTACAAGATGTAGAGACACGATATTTCAACATTGAGAAATTGGCTCTAGCATTGGTCATGTCTTCTCGAAAAACTTCGCCCTTACTTCTAAGCACATTCCATCATCGTGCTTACCAATCATCATCTTCGACAGATACTCCAAAGTCCTGACACTTCGGGGTGAATGATAAAATGGGCGATATCATTGGGTGAGTTTGACATCTCTTAACAACCAAAGCCAGCTGAGAAGGGCCAAGCAGTGGCAGACTTCATCGCCGACTTCACATATCCTGTTGACATTGTTTCTACACCTAAAGAAGTGGTTTCATTACCCTCGGAAGCTCAGAAAATAGAACCAACAACCCCATCATGAAGTCTATATGTTGATGGCTCGTCCAACCAATAGGGTTGTGGAGCAAGACTAGTCCTTGCGACCCCTGACAAAGTGGCGATGGAGTATGCTCTTCGTTTCAAATTCAAGGTGTCGAACAATGAGGTCGAATATGAAGCCCTCCTAACAGGCTTACGTTTGGCCAAACACCTTGGGGTTAAACGAATTGATATCTTCAGTGACTCCCAATTGGTGGTTAACCAGGTCACCAACAACTTTGATGCTAAGGATAGCTCCATGGCAGCATATCTGGCACAAACATAATTGTTGCTCAAGCACTTCCACTACCAG